CAAAACATGTTTGGGGACTCTTTAAACAGGAACAAAACAGCAAATTTCTTGCTCATATCCTGTTTCAACAGTGTTGCTTGCCTTTTCCTTTTGTCCCTGCTCTTCAAGGGAAAAAGTAGGAAAGGATCGCTGGTCTTTTGTCACACCAGATGCATATCTCTACTGTATATATCTTCCATGCTTCAGCAGTTCTGTCGAGATGAGCTTTACCTAAACCTGAAAATGGAGTGTGTGCCAGGTCTGCTGAACTGTCCATATTTCCCGTTTTGCAGTTCCAGTTGTATCTTGTTCTCCTTCCTGTCGACGGACAAACCATACCTAACTTGGAAAAGCCTTATCTAAGTTGTCGACCAACCTTGTCCATTCAACATGTTGTACAGGTGATTGCTTGTCTAGGTGAATATTTTGCTTGGTTTCTGAACATTCCTAGTTTACTCAGTTGGACCGAAATAACAAAAGGATGTGAAATCGTGTTATTTCAGTTCGTTGCTCTTCAATTATCTTGGAAAGTCGAAGAACTTGAGATGTACATAAGGATGGACCGCCACTGTGTAAGTGTTGGCTCGAATAATTCCGGTACAGATGAAGCAAAAGCCATGCCCATTTGATGGCTTGGAAAGACTGAGGGAAGATAAACTTCTGTCGGAGCTTCATCCTTCGTTTGCCTCTAGCAACGGTAACATGGTAAGACCCAGTATTGAAGCTCCGACAGCTTGACCCAGTATCGCAGTAAATTTGTTTCAATACTGGTTGCTTACTTGCTTGCTTGCTCATGTTACCGTTTTTCACATTGAATATTCTGCTTGCTTGCTCATGTTGCGCTGATACACTTCGCTCTTGTCTTTAATGCCAGGTGTTGCGATATGCTTTGAAAACTCGAGACTTAGATCAGTTTTGATCCTCAGCTACCAATTTATGAAGTCCCTGTCCATACGGTGGCAATGCAAATGGGATCTGCATCTGGTGAACGGATTTATGTATAAAAAAGAATATTCAATGTGAAAAATGGTGTTGCTGTTTTTCTCATTAGTCTTGCTAAGTTAGTTTACCATCTTTGTAATATATAACGAACTGATTAGCGAATGACCTCAGTCGGTGAGCCAAGCTGTCTTCTATTTACTGTTCATTATTTATACGAGTCGATGGCAGGATGGGAAATCGGAAGCTGATTATAATATAAAACCAAGTCGTTCTTTCCTTGTTCACGCGCCTCAGTCTGCCACCTTCAACTTATCTAATTTCTGTTGTAAAAAAAAACTTATCTAATTTCTTACTTTCTGTTAACAATTAACACGACTCTGTAGTCTTTTTCTGGAGTTCTGGTCCAGAGCTATTGGATTTTGAGTTGTTTCATTATTTGCGAACTGTGGCCAGTGGCCCTAGTCCAAAACTCCAAATACTAAGATACACTAGGGTACTAGGATGTGCAAAGTTTTCGTGTCCTGTTTTGTCGCCTCGCTCCAACGGCTCCGCTTGACTTAGCGACATGAGTATTGTAAATTCATTTCCCTAAAAGACAAATTTATTCCGATTTAATGGTAGCACGGTTGTATAGAAATTTTAATTAGCATTTGGACCAAATCTCTTTGCATCAAAGTGGCCTAGCAGCAGCTATAAATGCGTCCTAGTAGTAATGATTAGGACTAAGATGCAAAGAGATTTGGTCGCTCGGAGGATAGAATCATGAACCCTCCAGCGACGTTGGTCTTAGAAAGAGGAAGAGGGGCGCTCCAGGATGCTGGCGTGGATGAGCAGCGCCCACATGGGTCATGAACTCCCCGCCGGCCGCGAGCTTCCGTGCGTGGACGCCGGCGTTGCTTGACGGCGCAAGGAAGAGGACGAGCTCGGCCCAGCCCAGAAGTCAACAAGCACCTTCCATAGCCGCGCCCTATCCGCCCCTGTTGCTGACGGGTGGCGGAGGATCTTGCCTCGTTTTCCAAATCATCCTGTGGCCGACCAGCCGCTGCGCCGGGAGGGTGGTGAGGCCAGGCCTCAACGAGGTGCCCACGCGGGGTCAGACCCCGGATCATCCCCATCGATTTTCGGGGTAGGTGCTTCAATTGCCTATCCCGGACTCACCGGGTGGCCACCTGCCGGCTTCCCCGCCGCTGCCTGCGCTGCCGCGGTTTTCGGCACATGACGCGTGATTGCGAGCGACAGAGGTCCAACACTGTAGTTGCTGCCTCCACTGGCCGCTCCTCCTGCACGCCGTTGATGGGCTCCTGCATGCCGTTGATGGGTGTATGTGCGCTGGGTGGTAGAGCATGGTCGTGGACTAGCTAGCTCACTTCGCTTCGGCAGCATCACCGTCAAAGCCACCTCTAAGTTGCCTGTTGATTCGTCGACGCCCCACCCCCCGTCCGAGATTCCTGCTGCAAACGAGGTTGCCGTGCACTCCTCCCTGCCCTGGGTCTCCTGCGACGTGGACTTCTTCGACCCCATCGCTTCCGAGCTGCAGGCCGTGCCGGCCCATGAGCGATGGGATCCCATGCGCTCCGAGGAGATGGTCGTCACGGAGAAGCCTTCGGGTATGGGGTCCCTGCCGGACCTAGAGGGTCGCTTCCGACGTAGCTTTGTGGATGCCCTGAGTTGGCCCTGCATCGCTCCCCCCATGGTAGGAAACGGCCGCGGACGCTTGCGCCGGATTCGGAGGTCATGGAGCTTGAGCTGTTGAGGCACAGCTGCGGGTCATTGACTGAACGACGAAGGCCACGACACTCGATCTCCATCGGTGATGCGTCACTATTCGCACAATTGGAGGCATGGCTGTGCATCCCGCCTGAGACCCCGTTAATCAACAAGCCAAGGCTGAGGAGGTCCAGGACACCTTCAACAGTGACATCGGTGTGAGTGGGAGGCTAGCTGCTAAGACCAAGGCCTCCAACCCGACTGTCCAGACACAAAATATGCTGAAGCAAAAGCTAGGGATCACAGAGGCGCAAGGTCCGAACCCTCTGGATTTGGACAGTATCAAGGCCTTCTTCGCTGCGCCGTTGTAGCCCTCCAAACAGGAGGCCCTTCAGGCACTCTTCGCTCCAGATTTCGATCCGGTGGCTATGGAGCTGAACCTCACTGGCTTCGAGCACGACGCTTTTTAGCCACTGAATTCAGGGCCTGTTGTGTTTATCCCTATGCTTGACCCCCTCACGGTCGCTAAGTAGTTTCTTTTGTAATCACAAATGTGTGAGCTCTGTCGGTGTTTGGCTCGGTAATCACAGACTACCGTCCCAGCTTTAAATTGTAAAACTCTTCTTCTGCTTAATGAATACCGAAAAGATCGTAGTATACATACATCAAATCTGTAACACTTGTTGCTCACAAAGATAATTTTTCCAGAATGTGAAGGCATTCCAACTTGGCATGATCGCCTTTGCTATCCTACCATAGAGATGACGAGGAAAACTATGAGCAATTATGTTGGTCACACTCAAGTGATGTAAAATTTTCCCACTTTCGTTGGGGCTCTCTTACTTCAAAATTTAAATTGAACTGTTCAAGTTCCTTAAACTTATTCAAGGATACATATGTGGTCCCATCCAATCCAACCTATGTCCGGACCATTCAGGTATATCATGGGGTTCTTGAGGAAACAGATGGCCACCATTGTCTGTGACGATAAGAATAGCTAACGAACAGTTTTGGAAGTTTAGGGGGGATCAAAATCCGGTTTTATATATGAGGGAGAAAACCAAAATTCATGAATTGTGGACTGGTTAAAAGGAGTATTTCTCCGGCAAGCGTTCATTTGTTCTGTGAAATTACCGGCAATGACACTCCGGAGAGAGAAGATGAGAGAATCAAAGAGTTTTCAGCAATTTCAGCAATAGCCTTCACTAATCATCAGGTTTAAAACATCCACAGTAGACACTCTTCATGGTTCTTTATCACAAAATTTAGAAATAAAAAAGCTCCAATAGACTTTAAACCACTCTCTGTCTTTTCCTCTCTCCAAAATCACTCTTCTCGCTTTTTATTTTTGGGGAGGCTACATGAATCTCTAAAATCTAAATGCAATATGATGGTTTTCTTATAATTCTTTCACACAAGAAATTTATGATAAACTATTGGAGTATAGAGAACAAAAAATGAAAAATCCATTGGAGACATGAGAAATATATAAAGAGAATATTCATTGATTGACTCTCCAGATAGACATATAGAGCCCCTTTAATTTGCTCTTATAATACTCCAAGTGGAAATTTATTTTCAGATTCTATGTACTATATGGTTTTAGTGGTTAATATATGGGATTTTTTTTAAAAAAATTCTGACCCAAAATTACAACCGGATGAATCTCCTTGTAACGCAAATTAAACGAAATGCACGCTCCAAGTTCCTTTTAGCCTCATAAAATGATGTCAATGTCGCTTTGTCACTTTGACACTGAGGAAACATTACAGCATCTTTTTTTCCAATGTCCTTTTGCCATGTGCTGCTGGAATACTCTGGGTCTTGCCCACTTGATCCAAGATGATCTTCTCGATTCTCTTTCAGCCTTCAGACTACAATTATAGCAGCCTTTCTTCATGGAAATAATTATATGCATGTGCTGGGCCATCTGGGCTGCTTGAAATGACAATATCTTGAGAGATATGCAGCACTCTCTGAATAATTGCAAGTCTACTTTCAAGAAAGAGTTAGCTCTATTAAGCTTAGAGCTAAAGGCAAATATCAACCCAAGTTAGATCAATGGCTAGAAGGCTTTGTGTAATACTCATGATTTTCTTTATTTCTTTCTTTGTTTCCTGAGCTTCATGCTCTGCCCCTGTATTTATACATTAAAAGTTTTAATTCAATAAAATCCAGTAGGGGGGAACACCTCCTGTTTCATCAGAAAAATGATGTCAATGTCATACGTACAGCTGCACACAAAACTACAGATCATGGATCATGGATGGATCAAAATCCAAAAATCTAGCATTTTAACTATACAAATAATGCTCATAATCGTGTTCAACGCACTCGGAATTTCTCCGCGCATTTGCAGTGACATGCAGAGATCAATTGAGGAATTTCAGGTAGTCCCTGAGGTCGGTGGGAAAGCACGGGTACTGCCTCCAGAATGCGCCGTGCACCCTGAGGAGCTTCGCCGCCTTCTCCTTGGTGGAAGCCGAGTTCTCCACCTGCAGGAGCGCCAGCAGCTTCCCCACGCAGCCGCTCATCAGCATGCCATCCAGCACCCTCTCCGCGGGCGTCACAGCGCACGCCACCAGCCACAGCACGCTCACGGCCAGCCTGCTGGCGAGGACCGACACGCGCAGCATCGTCCGCGCCACGGCCGACACCGCCAGCGCGTGCTCCGCGAAGGCGAGCCGGCCCTCGGGGCACTTGCACAGGCGCTTGAGCAGGAGGAGCGCGCGCTCGGCGACTCGGCGGTCGGCGTCGGGGAGGAGCTCCACGAGCACGCAGACGGCGCCCACCTCCACGGCCTTGGCGCGCCGAGCGCCGCGGGAGCGCGCCGTGACGTCGAGGAGCATGTCGAGCGCGCGGGAGCTCAACTTCGCTGAGGCACCATCGGACAGGAGCTCGAGGAGGGACTTGACCAGGTCGTCGACGTCCACACCAGGGGTCCAGTCACGCTCGGCGCCGCTGGCACTGGAGATCTTGGCGAGGATGGCCATAGCGTGCAGCCTCGACTCGGCGCTGCCGCGCTGCACCACCGCGACCACGGGCTTCATGCACTCGGGTTTGAGCACGAGCTCCACCGACGCGTCGTCGGAGAGAGGGAGCGTGGCGAGGACCGCGCCGGCCTCCTCGCACGTCCGGAACGCCGAGAAGTCTCCACCGGCGCAGCTCTCCACCAGCGCCTGTGTCATGACGCGGCCGAGCACCTGAATGCCGCCGTAGGCGACGAAGTCCTCCTGCGCTGCCACGTCTTCATCCATGCAGCGCCTGAGGTTCTTGAGCGCGGTGACCTTGAACGGCGTGGCCTCAATGCCAGCGAGCACCGACGGTAGCTTTTCCCGCGCCAGCTTATTACACAGCGGCGTGCTCGACGACGATGACGAAGAGGAGGAGGAGGCGCGGTCAAGCCAGGTGGAGATGACGCGCTTCAGAGTGTGGTTGGGCGTGAGGTCGAAGGAATTCAGCCGCTGCATGGTGGCCGGGCACGTCGTCTTGCCGTACTTGAAGAACCACCGCTCTATGCTTCGGCGATCGTAGGTGACGCCGGTGGACACCGTGACGGGGTCCTCCATCAGCTCCATGGAGATGGGACACAAGAACAGCTGAGGCGGCTCCTCCATGGCCATCACCTAGAATCGACCTCTATCTGGGGCAAATCCAAGCAGCTGAAACTGGCAACCAATCAAGACTCAAGCAGGATTCTTGGCTTCAGGTTTGTACAGAAAACAAAGTAACATGTCTGAGAGGGACGCTGGAGGGGATCAGGGCCCAGGGGTATGGGTTTTATATCTGCATTTAGGTGTAATATAATGCAGATGTCGTACTAAACCGTCAAATAACTCAGGCTCAATATGGTATAAATTAGTAGTCCCTTTATTTCAAATTATAAGTCATTTTGTCTCTATAAATACTATACATCAAGATATACACTAGATCTAAGATTTGAAATACAGGAGTATCTTTTACTCCCTCCATTTCCAAGTAAATCAATTTTTAGAGCTGTCTTAAGTCAATTCTTTTTTAGTTTGACCGAGAAAAAACGCCTAGATTCATATTATATTAGTATCATTACATACAACATGGAGTATATTTTCATAGTGTGCTTATTTGGTCAAATTATATTATAATTTGGTCAAATTTAAAAAATGTTGGCTTAAGACATCTATATAATTTGATCTATAGGTCGTTTTAATTTTGTAGACAAAGCGTCTAGCTATGCATAACAAAAACTATGAACATCGAAAGGTCAAAAATACCAATAATTTGGGATGGATGGAGTATTATGTTTCTTTTTTCAGGACAGAGGGTAGCACAGCGTTGTAGTGAAAATAGTACATTATGCAAATGCTAGGGTAATGGGCTCGTTCGGCTGGTTGAAAAAACAGCCGGATTTCAGTGTGCGCGAATGAAAAACACTGTTTACTCTCTCACAAATTTCTCCAGATTCATCCAGATTTCTCCAAATTCCTCCCAGCGAATATGGCCAATATTGCAAACAACAGCAAATTCTTGGTCCTTACAAAAGCACATGATTTTCATAGTTGAAACAAAATTCATGATTTTTAACTACTGTCTACGAAGACGCTACAAGACCAACTGGAAGAGCGCAGCTTGCAGTATTGGGCTGGTTCTTAGACCCAATTTTAGTCCATGTCTCATCGGATGTTTGACATATGTATGGAATATTAAATATAGACTAAAAAATAACTAATTACATAGATTGCGACTAATTTGCGAGACGATTTTTAAGCCTAATTAGTCTATGATTTGACAATGTGGTGCTATAGTAAATATATGCTAATGACGGATTAATTAGGCTTAATAAATCCGTCTCGTAAATTAGTCTCCATCTATGTAATTAGTTTTATAATTAACTCATGTTTAGTCCTCCTAATTAGCATCCGAACGTCCGATGTGACATGGACTAAAATTTAGTCCGTGGAACCAAACACCCTTTAGTATCGTCGCAATTTGATTTCCATGGACCATAAACAGTGCAACATGAGCTGTGGTCAGAACTCAGAAGTCAGATGGCCACAAAAGTAAGCCATGCTTACATATTGAGTGCTGTTGGCACCTAAAATAAAGGCAGGCCGACATCGATTGGCCAAGATCTACAAACTCAAGACTTTGTCTCTCATCTAAACGCTAAAAAGGGATTTTGACCGATAAACTAGGAGTTGAGTTACATGAATTCGATGGCGTCGACTTGAGCAAACAAGCAATCTGGTGGGCGTCGACTTTAGCAAGCAAGCAATCTGATGGGCGGCGGTTGCTCACCGCGAGGTGTCTACTCGCAACCGGATTTGCAGGCATGCTCTCTGACCTTGCGATTGCAAGACAGATTCAGTTTGCAAATGTCAGCTACCTGTCAGAAAGACAGAAACAGGTGGTGAATGTGGGAGGTTCGATCTTGGGACGTCAAATGCATCATAGAGTTGTTAATGTAGTTGCAAGAGGAGCTGGCCGGGGATGACGGTGGATCAGAATTGTTAATCCTGATCCATTTGTTTGTCGTTTTTATTCTTATATTATTTTATTTCTTGGCTGTGAGCGGTTGAGCGTTTACTTTGACTGTATCGTCAGGTTGTGTTTTCCTATTCCAAATCCCAGCCGCATTCTTATCTGTTTCTCCAAAACTAAATGGTACCCTTTCAAGTAACTAGTACTCCTACCATTTTTTATAATGAAATCCTAATGCCACTGTTAAATGGTAAACGCAGCTGATGGTTCCCGGATGAAGAACTGAAGACTATTGTATTGTATGGTCAGGAATAGTACAAGTCAACACTGATATTTGTCTTATGTTTCTCATGGTTTAGGTAAGTGTCTGATATCATTTTGGCATCTTTCCTTGTCATGGACTGTTCGCACTCTCTTGAAACAGTCCCATCGAGACAAGACGAGTGCAGTGACAGTCAGCCTGTTCGGTTGGCTGGTTCGTATCGTTATTGGTTTGTGAAGAAGTATCGCTGGCTAGTTTGTGTGAGAGAAAAATACTGTTCCGGTTAGAAATTTACGATCGTTTACGACAAGCCACAGCCAAACGAACGTGCTGACGTCAGTCTCAACTCTCAACTAAAACACTTGCTACACAACCTTATTCGCTCGTACTGTCTTAAATAGTGTCGGTTCACAAAGTGACCAACTAGCGAATATTTATAGTTTTACTGTACGTTGTGATCGGAGGTGGCCTAACACTCAATGATACATGATTTATACTGGTTCAGGCAACGTGCCCTACGTCCAGTGTAGGTCGGTCGGTGACTTTATTCCTGAGCCCAGGTGCTCGAAGTCTGTAGTGGGGTTACAAACGAGAAGGAGAAAGGAGAGGTGTACGAGAGGCCCGGTCGGGTCCGACCGGAAGGGCCGAGGGCGACCGGAACTCCGCTATGAGCTAGGTGTTCAAATGTGTGCTTGAGGGGTTTGTGAGCTATCGATCTAGTGAGTCTGAACTTGAAGAAGTGGACCTCTGAAAAATCGATCCCCTCGTTGGAGGGAACGCATCCCCTTTTATAGATGAAGGGGATGGCTTTACAGGTGAGAGGGAGGAAGAGTACGGATGTTACTAAGCCTTGTCGCCCACGCCGATGAGGACAGGATGGTAGGCGCCCACAAAACTGTTGACGTCATTGTAGAATGTCAGGTGCACATGGGAGGTTACGTTGGCTTCTTCAGGAAGGGTGGACGTCGATACCTGCAAAATACTATTGGTAGGTGAGGAGCCCCACCACGTGTACAAGGTATGGCGAACCCTGACGCCCACTGCCGATGCCCAGAAGTATGTGGCGGCCTTTTTGCCGTATGGGAGCCCAATGGCGCCTACAATACGGTAGACATAAATGTCGGCGCCTACAATACTGTTTGTGTGAGGGCGGTTGAGGAGCACTGTTCCCACAGGCGTGCAGGGTATGGTCCCGGTATCATGGTTTGACTTTGTACGCTGCCTTCTCCGTTCGCCCCTGGTCCCTTCCGAGCGGGCGCCCCCGATCGGATGGCCCTAGTCGGTCCTAGCCGCGCCTGTCGGAGAAGAGCGGTAAACAGGCTTCCTACGGATCCTCGGTCGGAGTCGCGAGGTCGGAGTAGGAAGCAGCGTTTTGGGCCGGGCCTTCCGATCGGAGAGACTGCACGGAGGCGGCTGGTGCCCAGGGCGAGCGTTCCGGTCGGAGGTGGGCCGAAGAAGTTGATGAGCGGGCGTTCGTTCTATTGGGCAGACCTTCCGGTCGGCGACCGGACTGTCCTTCCGGTCGGCGACCGGACTGTCCTTCCGGCCCGTCGTATTTTTAGACCTTCGGGCTGGCCCATAAACAACATGCTGTTTTCCTGGGCCGGGCCCTGGCGTGGAAGCCGGTCCCCGAGGAACTCCGGGTTTGTGAACCCGACAAATAGGGTATCAAGATTTATTCCGGCACAGAGGGATCGGATGTGTTTCTTGTTCAACGAAGTCGGAGTAGCTGGCCAGCCAGCCATTGCTCTGCCTTAATTGGCCAGGCAAAATATTTTTTTTCTTATGGTTAGAACTAGCTAAACCAAGCTTTTCTGTGACGAAAGCTGTCCATCAGTGCACAACCGTTTAGCAAAACAGGGTGCTATTTGTAAGCATGAACTATGAAACTTGCACGAAATTTAAGTTTACCGATTCTTGCAGATATTTCAGGACGAATTGACATATATCCACTTGCCAACGCGGCGCGTCACACGTCGCCCGAGGACTTCAAGCATTTGCCGAGCCACATGGTTCCGTCCAACAAACGCTTCCTGATACATTTGACTGCCGCGCAATTTTCTTTTGAACAAATGTAGCAATCAGCGGCTCAGCGCGGCTCAAGATCCTCAAGGAACTGCGAAATACGTTGACTAAGATTTAAAAAAAAAACATCATGATGACAAAACTGCCACCGACTAATTGGGTTATAAGATTCTGGGATTTGGACACGTCCAGCGCGAATTTCAGCTACCGGTGAACAGAAGCAACAATTCCACTGCTGACAAAACGGCATTGACAGCGTACTACTCCAGACTTCGGACAGAGTCCCGTTTTAGGAATGCTTTAGAGTTTACCTTGGATTTGGCCCATAGCATCTGACGGTTGCTTGAATTGGCATCCAATCCAACTAAGAATATACGTGGGCAACATTTTCCCAAAGGTGTGAGTCAGACAGTAGAAGAATTCTGATCTGATGATTCATGACAGTTTACCAAATTATCAAATGGGTTTCACAAAGTGGCACAGTTACCTGGACCTACATGATTCCTTTCAGACATCGGCCTTGGCATATTGCAACCTGCAGGAGAGAACTGATCATGACAGTTTAGGTTTAACCAGTCAAATCACTGATGTCTCAACCAATTGTGTACCTAATTACTTACTTTAGGGGAAGAAATAAGACGACTGTAACAAACTCAAGCTCCATTCCAGATTCCAGAAGTGCAGTACAGGATGGACTAAGCCAAATCCGATTTAATAATTGAAAACAATATACAGATCATCAAGTGACTATAGTATGCCAAAGGGCTTTACTGGAATGTCATTACCATCATGTGTGTACATCAAAGTCAGATTATATGTAAAAATACAAAAAAAAACTAGTGTTGAACATATTGTTTCCATATGGCATGGCAGACC